TATATATATATATATAGATATATATATATAGATAGATAGATATAGATATAGATATATATATATATATATAGATATATATATATAGATAGATAGATATAGATATAGATATATATATATATATATATAGAGAGATAGATATAGATATATATTCCGTTTATGTGTCATCCCTTTCATATGTTCTACTTTTGTGATTTTGCAATATTAAACTTATTCTTTGTGGAAGAAACTAATGAAAAATAAACCATACATTTAGAAAATATAATAAAAGGAAGTCAAAGTTGTACATTATGAATAAATAAATAAATAATATTTTAAGCTACGAGGAGCCTTCATAGTGTTGGTTCTGGCGCCCCCTGTGGACTAACGTGGTAGTGTCTCCCTTTAGAAAACCTCTCGTTCTACTGCAGCAGGTCTGACAGTCTGAACCTCTCAGTCCTGGTTCTGGTTCTCCTGTTGCCTCCCAGGACTAAACTGAGACTGAAATAAATAGTCTCGATTACAGAAAGAAGTTATATTTGTTAGAGATTATTTTTATTTTATTTGGCTCAAAGCAAAATGTGATTAAGAGAATTAAAGGAATCAGAATATGTTTTCCTAAAATCTGTGAAACTAAACTTGAAGAAAATCTGCAGGAATAAACAGGAAATTATTTCTGAATAAAAATAAATGAAAACGGTTTACATTCATTGTTGACCTCTAACCCTAACCCTAACCTCAACTTTAAAGCCAACGTGGGTGAAAAGTTCTTGAGATGTTGAGAAAAATATATTTGAACATATATTTCCAATGAAAGATCATTTAATTTGATCGAAAACTCCAAATCAGCTATAAATGGACCTTGAGCTGAGATTGTATCGTAAAATAAAACACTTCAGATTCACAGTCTGCTTCCCCTTTTTATATATGATCTATATATAATATATATATATATATATAGATCATATATAATATATATATATATATATATAGATCATATATATTATATATATATAATATATACTGTGTATATATTATATATATATAATATATATATATGCACACAGTATATATTATATAATATATAATATAATATATTACATCATATATATATATAAAATATATTATATCATATATATTATATATATATAATATAATGTATATATACATGTATATATAATATATATATTGTATTATATATATATATAATATAATATATATTATCTAGATTCTTCCTATATTGAATATATTCGTTTGTTTCTGTTGTTTGTTATAAAAGTCTCTCAGTACACAATTAAAATATAATATATAATATAAGTATTTAGTTAGTGATGAAATAATACAATGTGTTTGGACAAAATGTACAAAATATTTACGTCATATTAAATAAATGAAAAAGTACAAAAACAAATATTTTGGTAAATATCAGAGAACAATACAAGAATGTGAAAAAAATTATAACAAAAATACAGTTTATGCAAATCAGTTAGTTAGAAGTAAAATGAGAAGTTTAGTAAACATGTAAACAATATTTAACTTCAAACTCATAACAAATGACATCACTGATTACTGGCATCACTTATAACCAATGAGAGCACAGATGTGAGTCACAGCGATGATGTCATCAGCGGTGGATGATGCCACTCAGCGTGGTGGGAAGCTTCCTGTACTTCATCTCTCTGGACATCTGACACCAGACACAGGAAGGACAGAAGGACGACGACAGACAGTCTCTGCACAGACTGCCCTGAACACACCACAGAGAAGCACTAGTTAATATATACTAGTTATACTAGTTAATGGGTACTAGTTAATATATACTAGTTAATATAAACTAGTCAATGTATACGAGTTATACAAGTTAATGTGAACAAGTTGTAGTAGTTAATATGTAGAAGAAGAAGAAGAAGAACAAGAAGAAATAGAAGGTAAAGAGTTTTGTCCTCACTCTGATGCCGTAGCGGTGACGGACAGAGACTCTCATGGACATGGTGATTGGACGGATACATCCACAGACGTCCAGCAGAGGGAGACAGAGACTCTGACCCAACCGTCTACTGGTTCTACAGGCGAAGCACGGACAACACCAGAACGCATAGCAGCCTGCAGGAGACACACACACACACACACACACACACACACACACACACACACACTTAATATATCATTTATTGTTTCATATATTAATAATAATACCAATGATAATAATATTAATAATGATAATGATTTTACTGTACAGTCTTTCATGTCCAGGCAGCATTCACAGATCCCAGAAGTCCATTCGTCTTCTTGAGAGGACGGAACCAGAGACTGAGGCTGAGTCCAGACCACCGTCATCCTCCCGCTGAGAGACACGTCTTCATCAGTAATCAACAGTCAACAATCAGTACGGTTAGATACGATAAACCCAAAGAAGAGAGATCGCGATCTTACCTCTGAGTGTGTGTGTGTGTGTGTGTGTGCGTGTGTGTGTGTGTGTGAGACACAGGTTTCAGACAGACAGGTTTGACCCGTCTGACTGGACGAGTTTCTGTTTCCTTTGTGTCGTCACCTTTAAAGTACGAAGACTGATGACATGTCAGTCTGAGGAGAGAAAGGACTGAACGCGAGTTACACCAGCTTTATTCAGCAGACTCTCTTCAAACACTACATTACCCATGAGGCTTAGGGAAAACTGTGTCCTGCGTCCTCGCTCTTTCTTCTCAGTAATCATGTTTTGTCTGAATCCTACATTACCCAGAAGCCTCGGATTTCAAACATGTTACAGATCAACATCATTATTTAGTCCTTTCTGCATCTTTTCTATCAGTTTGTTGTGATTACATCTCTTCATGTCAGAAGTCCAGTCATCACATGTGACGTAAACGCAGCGTTCACTACATTTCTGTCCGGCTGCAGGCCTCTGACAGCAATGCTCTCTGGGAGTTGTAGTCCACGGTGTCTCCCTGAACGTCTCATTGGTTGTTCCTCTGCTGGCAGTCTGAGGGACTGAAGGACCCTGAACGCCTCCTAAATCCAGGTGAAGAGTTCTCGTCGGCATCCGTGCGTCAGCTTCGTGGGCTCACGGGCTCAGGGGCAGTACTCGTACTCGCCTCCATCGTCTATCTGGTAGATGTTCTCCACCGCCGACTCTCGACTCTGGAGCTGCAGACCAGACTCTGGAGACCTCAACCGGACCGAACTGTGGACCTGCAGCCGAGAGCTGAAACACAGAATTCACTCCTTATGTTCTGAAGGAAACCTGATTAAAATAAAAGCTTTATTTCTTCATGCCTGATGGTGATAATATCTCTAAGTTATTTAAGATACTGGGGACTCAGGACTGGGAATTACCCACAATTCATAGCGTCATGACATAAAACTCAGGGTTACCAGTTGGAAGCCCAGAGGAACACCCGCTTTGTTCACCAAAACGTTTCCTTTCATTATTAATTCAATGAAATCAAAGCTGTTTATTTTAGCCTGGAGGACGTTCAAAACAGGAAGTAAATAAAAGGGTGGAGTTTAAAGGGACAGTTCATCCCAAAATTAGACATATTTGTTCTTCCTCTTGTCTGTGGTGTCATGAGTCACCGGGTCAGGATTGAGTGTCATATATTTCCATTATATCGTTATAAGACAAGTAAGTAACACGCTTCATTAACATCATTACAGGTAAAAGGGAATATATGTATGTTTGATTTTGGGGTGAACTGTCCCTTTAAGGGTTTAGGGAGGGAGTTCACACCGTGACATTGCCATCCCATCATCATCATCTTCATCATCATCATCAGCTCGGTCTGTGAATGTCAAACCACAGAGGTTTCATCACAGTTTCTGTTTGTGGTGACAGAAAAACAGTTCTCACAACAACCTGAACCGTGACGACAAACTGTGATTCTTCATGTTCTCATTAGAGGAGAGGAGAGGAGAGGAGAGGAGGGGAGGGGAGAGGGGAGAGAGGAGAGGAGAGAGAGGAGAGGAGGGGAGAGGAGGGGAGAGGGGAGAGAGGAGAGGAGAGGAGAGAGAGGAGAGGAGAGGAGAGAGAGGAGGGGAGAGGAGGGGAGAGGGGAGAGAGGAGAGGAGAGGAGAGAGAGGAGAGGAGGGGAGGGGAGAGAGAGGAGAGGAGAGGAGGGGAGGGGAGAGAGGAGAGAGAGAGGAGAGGAGAGGGGAGAGAGGAGAGAGAGAGGAGAGGAGAGAGAGGAGAGGAGAGAGAGGAGGGGAGAGGAGGGGAGAGGGGAGAGA